CGTCGAAAACAAGACAATTTCATTGGTTTCTTGTGAATTTTCATGCACGAAATGTATTTCAAAGCTTCCAGAAGACTTCAAGAGACTTCAGAAGACTTCGAAAGACTTTCAAGACTTCATGAGACTTCAGTCGTGAAGTCTCCGCTGTTTCCCCCTTGGATAAAACATACTCCAAACTTTTTTAAAACATAATTTCGTTACATGTGGATCAGAAATTTGATTGAAACATAAAATAATATGTTAAACAAATACTAAAATATGAATAAGATATTATCAATCAGTATTTCAATTTTGATTTCATCAATTTTTTTCTAGACTACCCAGTTCTTTTGGAAACTATCGTGGGAATTAATTGAGAACAAAATCAATTATAGATGATCAAAAATAGAAATAGATTATTCTAGACAACAAGTAATTAGCGACAACTCTAACTGATCTTGTTTTTTTGTCAAGACATGATAATTATGTTGATATTTAGATATTCTTGAAATCAAGTTAACTTTCCAATGAAACTATAAATGCTTGTTTTTTTGCAATTCTAACTATCATGGAAAATTTCATCAGTAGTTTTCAATACCATAAATAGAAATTTTTCTTCATTAGTTATTTCTTCTATTATCTGACTTAATAACAGTAATATCTAGACATATTGACTATCTCAGTCAAGTCTGAATGAATTTTGATACGGAAGAAAAAACAGATGGTGAAATATGTCTCATGCAAGGTGCCCACGCATAGTTATCGATCAAAACACATAGATATAGAAGAAACATAAAGAGAGTGTGTGCAAAAAAATATTTATCTTGTGACATTTTGGCCAAAGCCGTAGACTAGGAAAACAGATTATACAAATCCAAATAGTATATCCCCTATCACATTTTGTTGTTCTTCCAATCTACTACCTACTTATGCGGTAACAAGAAAAGAAAAATATCTTGCCTTTGATGATATATCTATATTACTTTCATCCATATACATATCCGAGACGACTAATATCATAAAACAAACTCGAGAGAATATTGACAGCTTTAAATTATTTTCTTTTGATTGAAAGAAAATATGACGATGTAATTTCTGTGTAAATATAATTATTAAAAAGCTAATGCCGAGAGAACTATTCCTCACTTGTCTTCATTCATTCTTTCCTTTAGAGAAATGAATCATCATCACGATGAAATTTCTTAAATCCTATTCAACAAAACGAATCTATATCATTAAAAAATATAGACTTTTGTTAAAATCGATCCAATTCAATGTTTTTTTTGTTTTTTTTTATTTCCAGAATGTCTAATTTACAGTTTCAAGAAACACCTGTTGGACACCCTTTAATTGTTAAAATACCAGTCAACAATCAAATGGTTGAAAGAGCATTCGATTTATTAACTAATCGTCGTGTTAGTAAAAGTGAAGAACATTTTCTTATCTCAACTGAAACTGTTGATCATTCGGATATGGATGGATATATACCATTATTACTTCAACAATATGAAGATGCTGATAAAGAAGTAAAAGGTTATATTTCACGATTGAAATTCAATAATGAAGGACAACAATTTGCTAAAGCAATTATTGTTGGTACAAAAAATCACTTTTCAGTTTCTGTTATTGCAGCAAGTCGAAGAAAAACCGATAGACTGGATGAACATAAAATTCTAATTGCAACAATGAGAAAATCCGTAGAAATGTCAGCTTCTTGGAATATTTGGGCGAAAATTTTTGGCATTAAAACTGAGGAACAAAAAGAATTGGAAGGCATTGTGAAAAAATTAAATGATGAAGACAATAAAAAATGTTTGGAAGCTATGGCTCTGTATTTATTAGGTGACAAAATTCGAATGTTTCTTGGCGACAGTGTGAAAGTACAATTCATTCAAAATTAATACTGAAACGATACATAAAAAACTATTCTACATAATTTTCTTGTTATCATCCATGTAATTTAGAAGTTCCACTACTTAAATAGAATAAAATAAATCGTTTACTCTGTACAGATGCATCTAGTATTATCAAATAGATCTATATCATAGTATTGAATGACAAATATGAATCAGAACTGATCAAGATGGAGATAATCACATCACTATGTTGACGCAGATTTTTAAGGATTTGTATTAATCAACAACATATGTAATCAATCGAATGCCATCAGCAGTCAGTGAAAGTCTGAATGCATTTTGATATTAGGCTGAAATAATTGTTTTAGAATAATTTGTGATCGTTATGATCTGTCTCTGTATGTACAGCTTTTCCAAAATATTGTGTTGTTTCTTATTGTTGTTTGCTTAATGGATCCTTTCTTTCTCTGTCATGGTGAGACTGTCCTCCATAGGCATCCGTATTTCGAGATATACAGAAGAAGCCAACATGAAAACGTATGATGCCAAAAAGAAAAGTCTAAACATATCTCAAAATACGTTGTCTGTCTATATAATTATATTTAAGGTACAATGAATATTTTATACTGTCTACATCGCCTACATTGAAAGGAACAGAAAAGTAAATGTCTGTCATTTGTAGACGAAGTGTTATAAAAAATGTCGAGTGGTAGAGTTATTAGACGCGTAACTTCTGTTGCCATCAGTTATCATACGATTCTCAATTGATTTTCATTTTGAAAAGTGAGGAAAGTCCCTTATTCATTACACAAAAAGAAAACTTTCTTTTTCATTAATTACTAGCGTGTAGAAAAAATTTCTGTTTGAGTACAGAGTACAATGCATTTTACTTTCAATGAATGAAGACTTTCATATTATTTGTTGAGTATATGAACGAGAATTACTCAATGCGTATTCAGTTATGTGTTATTACTTTTCTTGAGTTTTCTTGTATTTCATATCCTGCACGAATGAAATGAATGTTAAGTTCAGTAAATGATAAGTTGTGTTATGGTGATGAAAATTATATCATGTCACTCATTACAGTCACTAGTTTCAAAAATACACACTTCCATTTTTTTTCTTATCATTCTATGAATGATGTCATATTGTTTTATTAATTTATGTTCCTAAGTCCGACAAAAAATAATGAGAAAAAAACATATTTATATTTATTTAATGCTGTCGATGAATACACATAAATAATGAATAATTTTTATTGTGTAATGATTATCTTTATTACTAGATGAAATCGCAGAAAAAGCAAAGATGCTTGTCAAAATGGTAAGTTTTTCTGTAGAATAATCAATTAATAAAAAAAATATATTTGTATCAATATATGCATTGAATGTTCTGTTAAGCAAATACAATTTGATATATTCACAAATTAATATTATTTTTTGATAATGGTTAAAAAAAAAGTATCATACAGTCAATAATATTTAAAATAAATGTTTTTGGTATATCTCATGTTTGCACAATTACGAGCGGTTCTTTTATTATATTCAAACGATTTTCAAGACTTGTATTGAAATAGTTATAGAATTTGTTCAAACCATAATTGATTTAAGTTTTACTATTGTCATCACATTTTGTATTGAGAGTTTTTATAAGTACTACAATTACGTCCATATAATAAAATCCTTTATAATTCCTTGATCTGAGTTTGTATTTCCTTTAAGCTCAAATGAACTGCGATTTGTACTACATTTTGAAGTAAAATGATCCATGAAAACCTCTCCTGTGCTATCAAAGAGTTTTATTTTATGTTTGAGTATTTTTCCATTAAATAAATATATGTAGAGTCGTATATGAATAGAAATCATGAAAATAAAAACACAGGCACTTATTCTAACTGCTTTTGTCTTAGTGTAGATTTAAGATGCTACTTATAGATTCTGACCATTGTTTCAAATTATGTTCTTTTGACACATTTATTCTATACTTAAAATGAAACTCAATTTCTAATAGATGAATAAAAATGAAATCGGAATCTTTTCGGATGGGTGTGAGTGTATTGTCGTCTTGTCTCACGCCCACATCCCACATTCACATGTGAATTTATAAACTTAAATTATGCAGGGCGCCACCGTATACAAATATCTAACACATATGATTGCACTTTATTTTTGATTTGTGTCCTGTTGAGTATGGCGTACTTTTGCTGAATAACCAATGTGCCAATTTATTCTATTCTTTGTTTTCTATTAGATGAAATACAAGGATGTAGGCGTGGACGTGTGATCACCATCCTGGTGGTGCACTTGGGAGTAGGCGATCATTCCAAGATCTGTCCAGACCCACATCGCATAATAAGCAAATTATATTAGCGAATTTTACGGAGGACAACCCTCGATATTTATACCTATGTCAAAAAGAAACTCCCATTCGTAAACTGTTGAATCGAATTCATGAATTCGATTTGTCGATGATGGTGTTGTTTGAAGAGTAAAATAACGTTCAGTAGACATAGAAGTAATTATGAAAAAATCTCAAGTCTCACTGGCAAAATGTCACGTCTTAATGTCGGAACCAATGATAGAACAGCAAGAGATAAGTTCTCTAGTTGATTTGAAAAAACAATTCTAATAAGATGTAAAAGTCATCGCAACTGATTTAACATGAATTAGATATTTCTATCTATAGATATAACGTTAGATTGAAAATGCTCCAACATATACTAGGAAAAGTACACACAAAAGAAAGATGAAAACTAAGAAAATTTTAACTATACATATTCAAAGACAGTAGGAAGAAGATTTCATGAATCCCTACATGACAGAATTCATTCAATATTTCGTATAGTTTATGTAGTTTTATATCGCGGTTTAAAGGGAGGACTAGTATGAGCTTGTTGCTGTTTACGTCCTAGTTCAATCAATAGTTCCAATACGACTTCTTTGGGTTCAATAAACCAAATCAAATCTTTATAATTCTGTGGAATAGCCAGTGGAGCGTCAGTTAGAAAATTTAGATGTTTGTAGACATGTTCTGGCATTTTCTCGCACATAACTCGTGCTTGTTGCAAAGGACCACCAGTTAATGATAAAGATGAGCTAACTAATGATAGTTGACGACTAAAACTCTACAAATATAAAACAAAAAACATTTTAATGAATAATTATTTCGAAACATTACCTGTGATGAATTAGGAACAGAAGTTGTTTCTTGTATTGTGCCATCTTGAAAAGTAGTCGTTTCGAGTTGATGAACTTCAATGAAATGATTTTCTCTAAGCAGATGGCGAGGATGCCATATAGCAGTTTTTGAATCGTACATATACTTAAAAAACAACAATATCGTTTTTAGAATTTATCATGATATATAATTGACTTTACCAACGGAAGAAATCGCCAACCATTTTGCGCAATAAAATCAATCGAATCAAGAATATAATTTACTTCTTCATCATCGATAAAATACGATAGATTAAAACGAGTAAAACCCGGCTTCATTAATGAATTCTGAGGAATTTCCAAATTATGGTTGTCAACTTTTCGACTAGAGTAGATTAAATCAAAAAGATATTCTTTTTCAAATACACTTTCTACATACCTTGAATCTTCAGTAATGAATCTTGTATAAATATCTGCTTTTTCATCGTCAATCTCTAACAAATCCGATATGATTATTATATATACATATATACCTATTTTAGACATTATCTATACTGTACTTCACTTACTAATACATATGGACCCGCACAAGAGCATCCTGATCTTACTTGAATTCCAAATAAATCATTCAATAGTGAACAAACAAAATTGTGATGTAAATATTTGCCAATCGATGGTACATATATTAGAAAAGAAAATATTGCCAGACGAGGAATATCGAGTGGACCAAGAATTAATAATGTTTCACTATCTCGAAAACGCTGAATGAACTTGTCTACTAATTTCTTTTCTCGATCATCAATTAGTTCATGTCCAATGGCGTGTTTTAAAATGAAAACTAATCCAGCACGAATGGAACCAAGAATATTTGGTGTTCCACCTTCTTCTCGAGTTTCAATATCCTTTGTATATTCTACTGCTTGTCGAGTAACATAATTAACTGTACCACCACCAGGACCGCTCGGTACACGATTTGTAAAAATCTTCTTTTTTGCAATGAGAAGACCTAATTTTAAAAGCGTAAGAATATCTTTTTTTTTAAATAATTTATATGAGTTACCTGGTGCTCCAGGTCCACCGACGAATTTATGCGTTGAAATAAATACTGCATCTTTAGCAGCTTTTTCTGATGGATTCATATTGATATGAACATGAGGTGCTGCTGCTGCATAGTCCCAAAATATCAAACCCTCGTGTTCATGAACCAATTCTGAAATAGGATCAACATCGGCTAGAATACCAGTGACATTACTTGCTGCACTAAATGTACAAATAATATTCTTTTTGATTTGTTCACGATAATATTTTAATTTAGTTTTTAGAACATTTTGATCAAGGAGACCTTGTTTATTGTTAGGAATTTGAACGAACTAGAAAAAGAAAAAAAAACAAATGTTCTCAATGAATCAAACATAGATTTTGATTCAATTCAATTTTACTTCAACGCCTGTTTCTTTCCATGGTAAAATATTCGAGTGATGTTCTGATGTACTAACAAATACTACATATTGATTTCGAATGTTATCAGCACGAAGTTGTAAAATATCGACCGTTTTATGAATAGCCGCTGTCGATCCTAAAATATTCCATATCGATCTGCAAAGAAAACAAATTGAATAAAATAATCATGCAATGTAACCTGATCCAGTGAAGATCACAACGTCATCATTATTGCAATTAACACATTTTTTTATTATTGATCGTGCACTTTCACGAAACTTTGTGGTTTGTGTTGCAAAAGCACTATTTTCACTATGTGTATTTGCATAACTATTCAGTTAAAATGAATTATATAATTATTTGTTTTGTATTAAGGAATTGATTTTACTTACAATGGCAAAACGTGACTAAGCATGTACTGTTCGATACAGAAGAGACCTCGTCCTGTAGCCGTGTAATCTGCATAAATAGCTACGAAGAAAGAGAAATAAATGAAAGTTTATACAACATATTGAAAGAACAGATGAATACCTTTTCGCCTTCCCCAAGGTGTCTGAATCATGAGATTATTACCAATGATATTCGAATTAATACAATGAGACAGTTGTTGTTTGTCTAAATAAATTATTATAATAAGTTTTTACAACCAATAGATAGATTTATTGTTACAGATACCGCCGATAGAACGAGAAAGTTTTAAGATTTTCTAAATCAATAAAAATATTTTATTATCTCATAGATTGAATAATCATTCTGTATCAATTAACAAAAACGGTTTAGGAATCATTTTCATGTTTTTGAAGTATATGGATTCTCATTCGTAATATTTAATAAAATTACTTTAAAAATTCGACATATTCGATCAATTTTCGATGATTTGAAACGATAGGAACATAGATTTTGAATTACAAATATTAGATTGACATTTCAATATAAAGGCAAAGGTGTTGGTATGACTACGATTGTGTGAATTGATTTAAAAGGATATTAAAACTACACCCTGCATCATCAACATTAATTTTACTGTATGACACAAAAAGAAGTAGCCAAGTTAGTTTGGACTTACCATGATAATGTTCATGAATGTTAGGAAAGAGTGGAAATGATCCATCTGTATTTGAAGTAAAACAATTAGAATGTTCAATGAAGGATCCTTGATTGGAAAGATCAACGCCTATTGGTTCACGAAGCGAGTGATTCAGTTGTTGTGACGATGATGATGATGGCTGAAAAATTTAAAATTCATACGGTCAAACTTTTGATAAATAATTACTGAGTCTATTTGTGACTCATTATTGATTTGATGATCATCGGATGCGAAAGGTTGTGGTGAATGATCATTGTGTTCATTCAATGATTCCGATGTAGATCTATCTAAATTTGAATTTAACCGACCACAATTAGGTGTTTCCTGAGTTCTTAGTCGTTGAAAACTATATAGATATGATTCTGCAGCGGCCTAATAAATATTTCATAAGTTCATTTTGCAACAAAATTATTTCTAATGAAAAAATACTTCAACATCCCAGTCGTAGGCTCTTAAATGTTGCATCACCGCAAGACTAATATTAGCCATGGACTAAAAAATAGAAATTGCCATACTAATCATAAAATATCATTAGAATTTTACCGTCAAGAAATCAGGTATGTTCTCATTTGATTGAGCCATGTTGATTGAATTAGATTTGAAGAGAAAGATCTTTTTAAATGTTAAAGGATAGAAAGGGGTATATGTAACTATACAACACTGAATTTTACTTCTTTTGACTTTCGATGATTAACACGATTCAGAAAAATAAATGATATATTAGTCGTGCTTCGATAGCTCAATGATTAGAACACTGGTTCGAATAACCAGCTATCATATCATAGGTTCGATTTCTGAATGAAGCATATCATTTATTTTTCTGAATGATGTTAAATCATCGAAAGTCAAAGGAAGTAAAATTCAGTGTTGTATAGAAAGATCTTTTCTGAAGTATATTGCATTTCCTAATTTGAACGTGCAACAAAAGGATCTTCTGAATAGTAGAATCAGAAGTAGCCTTGAAAATTAAATAAGGTAAAATGGGATGGGTGTACGTGTGTGCTTGTGACTATGATTGTCTGAATACAAGCTCTGTTCTACAAAAATTTTCACACCCACACCCTGGAGTACAGCCATTGCATAAAGTAAATACTAAGATCAAATACAGAAAGCAACGGATGTTAGCATCAATAAAAAGAGAGAACGTCTTGTCTAATCAATATTGACTTGTACACAACAGAACGAGATAAAAATAAACCCTTCTATATTCTTCTTCTTATCTAAATGATTTTCTTCTATGACATTATCAAGGAATCATGTACAGTTATCGCAGAAAGCAAACACTAAGAAAGAATACAGAAAACATACAAAACTAGCAGCAGCAAAAAACGTTGAAGTTTTTTTCTAGACGACATTCACTTGCACAAAAAAAACAAAATGAAAACGAAGTATTTCGCACTCCTCTCCTTACGTATATAGTTGCCATTTTGAATGTTTTTGAAGAAATCACTATAGTCATCGCATAAGGGAAATATTATGGCAAAATAATAAGTATAGAATGTGAGCTATCGAGAAAGAACGAAGCGCTTCTGTATTGGCTACTGGTTTCTACATAGAACACGAGATGAAAATAAAGTGTTTTGTTTTCGCTTGTTTGTCATCTATGTTATTACTATTTGTGCACTTTTCAAGAAATCAGTGTAATCATCACAGTTATCAAATAATATGGAAAAAAACAGAAAATGTGAAATCCTAGGAGTATAGAAAAAAATGAGTATGTGTCTTTGTAAGCAGTATGGCATTCATAGGAGAGAACGAGAGAAAATAAGGTGTTTTGCTCTTTTACTCTAATATATATGTATCATTTCTTTGTAGGCTCGTTTTATAGAATCAGCGCAAGTATCAAATAAAGCAACTAATCGGGAGAAAAAAAGAAGAAATTGTAGAAGTGTAGGAGCAGAGAAAAAAGATCTTAGATGCTTCTCTAGGAGAAACAAACGAGAACAAATGTATCTATCGATCTATCTTTTAAGGAAAAGACAAACTAATCTGTCGATCTCCACGTTTATTTTACAGCAACCGGTTGCATCGAAATAATATTTAGTTTAGAGAAAATTCTTAAGTAAAACCGAGATAAAAATGAAATGTGGGGTTTAATGTCAAAGACAAGTTTCGTCTTATTTATTAATATATTAAAACATTCATCAGGTCTCTGCATTTACAAAGATAAGTGAAGTACCAAAACTACAGTTAATTCGAAAAGTAAATAGGAAGA